GCCATGTGATTGTAACTGCAACTCGGGTACGGTAACGAATTGGAGCTTGTTCACCTGATTTGCTTTGTATTGATTATTGTTGTTTACTGGTTTGCGGTGCGAATGCTTCCAAAAGTGTGCAGAGATATTGGCAAAACAATGGGCCTCGGACGGGATTCGAACCCTAAATTAACCTTGCCTCTATGCGACTTACAATTAGTCCTCTTGGATTGCCCTGCATCTTTTTGTGATTTTTTTCGGAAGTTCGAAAACATTTCGCTCTAAATGAAGGGTTTCAGGATGTACTTACCCCATACAACATGTACGTAATATTTCGTTGTGTGGATACGACTCAAATGCTCTACACCTTCCAAAAGTTCATACTGGATTTGATAGCAAAAAATGGTGGAATGGGAGGTCTTCCAATGGCTACACCGCCAATGGTAGCGCGCTGTGAGTGAGATTCTCCCTATTTTTTCTCGAAAAAGGAAGAGAATTCGAAATCTTTCTCTTTTTTCAGTCTGGCACAATGTGGCGATGACATTCGAGGTTGGAATTGTATGCGTAGTGATGTTCAGGAATATTGGACCAGGCAAAAGCGCTTTCTTCGCGGAACAGAACGAAGCTGTTCATGTCTGTCATCCCATGCCTCTGGCCAATCTCTGAGCTTCATAGTGTGATCTGAGCTCGAGGCCATTTCATGATTCAATGGACGGGACGCTTCATCACAGGGTTTGCAACGAAAGTTGAGTAGAAGTCATTCCACAAGCAAGCCTTTTTTTTGAGAAATCCGCATAATAAGCATAATAAATATGTAAACCATTATTATGATGAAGGATTACAGCAGTAGGCTAGCAGTTTTGCAGTTTTCGTCTTTGTTCTATTCATCTGTTGCAAGTGGGAAGCCTTTGAAAGCCAGAAGAGGCTTCACTCTTTTAGGACTTCGCTGGCATTATGCCATTCAGTTTTAAGACATTTTTCTAGAAACGAGGGGAGGGGGAGACTTCCTTGAACTCTGTCCCAAGACTATTACTGAGTTGTTTT